ACCAGCTCTGGGCCCCTGGCTGGTCTCTGACCCTCCAGTCCTTTTGTCATCCTGGCCTCTCAACCCCTTAATGTCAACTTATGGTACAATAAACTCAACTGACCCAGAAGAGCGGGTCTGTCTTGCGCTCTACTGGTTGTTTCTCTGCAGGAAACCAAGCTGTGCGTGAGGAGAACGCCTAGGTTCTTTCTTTAGGCTTTTAAGAGCCTGAGTCTGGGGCTCGGCTTTGGGAAGCAGAGAATGCAGAAAAGCAAATGTTCCACTAAAAATGTGCTTTTGTCCAGAACTGCTTCTTAGGGGAATTTCCTGAGGCCTGGGAGAGCCAGAGTGAGTGTTCTTCTCAAGTACAGCGTTTTGGTGAAGTCCATGTGTGATAATACCACTGTAACCACAAAGGAATTTACCACAGGAAGTGTCCCAGCTGTGGCTTATTAGCATTAGAACAAATTACACAAAGCAAATTGTTAGCAGACATGTTTCCATAATACTTAACTGGTGGCAATAAATAAGAGTGATTCTCTTTCAAGTAAATGCTAGATTTCCGAAAGGTCAGCTTCCAATTGTCCATGAAGGGATCATCTTTGACTGAGATAACGCAGGGAATGACATTCTGGAAGCTGATGTTCCCCGCGCTCTTTCTGTGGAAGCTGGGCCAGGAGCCGGGCTGGAAGCAGAGGTGCTGTGGGGGAGCAGATTGGGACGTGCTGCTGGGTTGACATCGCAAAATGGCAACACGTGTGCCTGCGGACACCCATCATGTGTGCAATTCGTCTCTTGGGTGCTCTTCCCATGCTACATTGCTTATGGGGACCTGGTAAGACGACAGGAGAGCGAGCAAGCACATGGCTCTTGGAGTGTGTTTATGGCAAAAACAAAAACAAGCCCAGACTCATGGACAGGTTTGCATCCCTCTCCTGAACATAATATTGTAGGACTTTGTGTGTGTGTGTGTGTTTAGATTTTTGCCCTAAGGTGACACACTCGCCAGAGCAAGACAGAGTGAGGGAATGTGAGAAATCAGCCGTGGGGGGTTGGCCATGGCACAGTCTCTTCTCCTCCAGTCTCCTCTTGGGATTCGAGCATACACAGACAACCGGTGTGAATTTCAAGCCTCTGGGTCCTGGACTCAAAACATGGTCAGCCATGAGGGAGTCCAGCACCTTAGTCACTACACCACCTGCTGGCCCCATTATTATTATTATTTTTTATGATAGAGAGTTTTGCACACACTGACAGAGAGAGAAAAACACCGCTATAGGGTCTCATCCCTAGCCTTCTAGGTCCTCAGGATCCCGGGCACCCACCTGGCATGTTTTCAGACATGTTTCCATAATACTTAACTGGTGGCAATAAATAAGAGCGATTCTCTTTCAAGTAAATGCTAGATTTCCAAAAGGTCCAAAAGGACCCTGGATGTGAACCCACAGTCGGCCAGGTAGCTTCCAGCATTGTAGTCCGGTACACTGTGGACTGTGCCACCTGTGTGGGCCTGCAGGTTTTTAAAAAATCATCGACTCCTTCACAGTCCCAGGTCCTGTACTCTGAGGTTAAAAAAAAAAAATGTGCATCAGATCCCGTCTCTCTCAAGCTCCACGGAGAGGAGGTAAAAAAGTGGCCTTCAGAGCCAACGTTGGATGGCACTCAGCAGCTCAGATATGGGAAGATCTGGCTACTTCTCTAGAAAGACAGGAGATTATTTTATCTTTCAAGACCTCCTGACAGTGACTAAATTTGAGTCCACTGGGGGTTTCCAATTAGCTTGAGAGATGTGACAAAATTCTCCTAAGACGATTTCAAAAATAATTCAAGAAATGATTTTAATCAGAAAAATAAGTATTCCATACAGCACAAAAATAGGAAAATAGGTTATTGCAGCATAAAGGGTTGGCACTGTTTTCCTAAGAAATATTACGTCCTCCCTCCCTCACTGGTTTCCTTCTCAGGCACACTGACCTTAGCCTAGCGTTCCTTCCCGAAGTATTTAATAGCATATTCGGTTTGCCTGAGGAGTTCCTCACTCCTTTTCCTGCTG